TGCCGGCGCCTCGTGGGCTGCCTGGGAGCAGTTGGGGAGGCGCAGGGAACAGTCTTGGGCCGCTCTTGGCTCGACATGTCGAGAATCTGAAAATCAGTCAAAAACCATTGACATAATAACGATGTTGGCCACCTCGGGCCGCCTGGACGACCTCGTGGGCCGCCTTCGGGGCCGTCTTCGGAACCTCCTGGGCTGCCTGCGGGCCGTCCTGGGCCTGTGTCGGGGTCCTCGTGGGCCTTCTCGGGGCCCTTGGATCCGCCGCTGAGCCATCTGGGGCCTGTCCGCAAGCATCCTTGAGGCCCCGGTCCGCCTGGCAAGATTCTGAGTTCTTGGAGTCGCGTGACCCTGCTCGCCACTCTGGCACGCACGGCCGCCTGCACTGTAGTATAGACCAGGGCTGGCCCGTCAACTCCGTCCACGTCAAGCAGCGTTTCCAGCGTGTGTGTTGCTGCTTGTGTCTGTAGGCTGCCAGGTAGGCGTTGTTTTATTCTAGATTTCGACATTTGGCCGAAGGGTGGGGGAGGGGGGGGATTCTGGGTCTGGGCCGGTGCTTAATCGATCTGCTTCTGCCAGTCACGCATGCAGACTGGGGGGAGGAGTCCTGACAAGTCGCCAAAAGCAGCCGCCCAAAGCAGCCAAGATCTGGTCTATGGGGGGGAGCGGGGGGGGCGGGGGCCCGCCCCGATCGGCGAAACAATAAATAGAAAAACGGCGACTTGCCGCGAGTGCTGCTTGCTAACAGTTTGCCTGCTTGTACTGGCTTGTTGCGTGCTTGCCGATTGCTCGCTTGCCGACTTGCTGGCTTGCTGGCCTGCTTGCCGGCACGCTTGCTTGCCGCTCGCTTTCTGGCTGGCTGGCTGGCTGGCTGCTGCTTGCTGCTGCTGCTGCTGCTGCTTGCTGTGCCTGCTTGCTGTGCTTGCTTGCTGTGCCTGCTTGGGCTCTCCTGGCCTGGACTTCGGCATCTTCCGAGGCTCCTTGGGAGCCACCTCGGAGCCAGGCTTCTGGGGAGCGCAGGGGGGGGGGGGGGCTGGCGGAGGGCGCGTCTCGGGCCGGCCTGGGACGATCTTGGGCCGCCTGGGGGCCGCATCAGGGCCAAGACTGAAAGTCTCCTCCTCCTCCTCCTCGTCCTCCTCCTCCTCCTACTCCTCCTTCTCCTCCTCCTCCTCCTCCACCTCCGCCTCATCTTCCTCCTCCTCCTCCTCCTCCTCCTCCTCCTCCTCCTCCGCCTCCTCCTCCTCATCCTACTCCTCCTACTCCTCCTCCTCCTCCACCTCCGCCTCCTCTTCCTCCTCCTCCTCCTCCTCCTCCTCCTCCTCCTCCTCCTCCTCCTCCTCCAAGAGGCGCATGTGCGCCCCGTGCTCTCACGATGCCCCGTCGTGGATCTGGCCGTTCGAGGCCGTCGGAGGAGTCGCGCGGGCTGCGCCGTCCCGAGAGGAGGCAGAAGGCAGAAGGCACTGCGGGAGCGCGCCCCCGGTGGCCGAAAGGGCGGGGAGCGCGCTCTGGAGCAAGTTTGGCGGCCTCTCGGGCCGTCTGGGAGCGTCGGGAGCCCGACGAGGCGAGTATGCCTAAGTTCTTTGTTGTTTGTTTGTATATGTATATATATATATATACGAATAAATAGATACATAAAAAAATACATGAATACATAAATCAATAAATAAATAAGTAAATAAATAAATAAATATACATACATATATATATATATATATGTATATATAAAGACGTGGGCCTCCTGGGGCCCTCTTGGGAGACCTCTTGGAATCCTCCTGGGCCGTCCTGGGCTTCCTGGGCCGTCCGAAAGCGATAGCGGCAAACACTTGGACAATCTGGAGGCGTCTCGGGCCATCCTGGACGGTGTTGGGGCCCTCTTTAGAGGCCTCCTAGATGGGGTCGGAGCAGATGGGGTCGAAGCATCGCACCGCATCGCCAATACATCGCCGAGGCATCGGCGATGCATCGGTAATGCATCGGCGACGCATCGGCGATGCCTTGGCGACGTCGGCGCGGAGGAAATCGGACCCCTCATCGAGCCGCATCGCCGATGCATCGGCGATGCGGCGCGATCCTCCGACCCCACCTACCCGGACCCCATCCGGGCGGCCCATGAGGGGGAAGCGCGTGCGGACGTGCGTGCGCAGGAGGAGGAGGAGGAGGAGGAGGAGGAGGATGAGGATGAGGATGAGGATGAGGATGAGGATGATGATGAGGATGAGGATGAGGATGAGGATGAGGATGAGGATGAGGATGAGGATGAGGATGAGGATGAGGATGATGATGATGATGATGATGATGATGATGATGATGGTGATGATGATGATGATGATGCTTAGGAGGCCTGGACGTTCAGAGGGGGGTCAACAAAGGGCAGGGTGGTCGAGGGCTGCAGGAAGGGGGGCCCCACGGCCGGGAGCTCCCGCAGGGGCGCCTCGCCGCGCCGGCCCGGGCGGCACGCTCCACGCCGCTGCGGGTTGGGTGGCGTGTCGCTCCGCTCCGCGGGGCCTAGACTCGTGGATGCCACGACAGTGGACGCTCCAACAATCCGATCCTCGAACTAAAGCTGTGTTCCACGTGCATACAGCATGTTCTGGATGATCCCAGTGCGACCCCACCTAGGAGCTGGAGCATCTAGGAAAGCAACATCTACGTCTACACACCGACAGCTACATTTACATCTACACCTGCATCTACATCTACATCAACATCAACAGCGAGACTCACATCTACATGTACATCTACACCTACATCTACACATACATCTACATATGCATCTACATCTACATCTACATATACACCTACATCCACATCTACACCTACACATACGTCTCAATGCTATGCTATGCTAGGCTATGTTACTACGATATGATATGCCATGCTAGGCTATGTTGTGATATGAAATGATACCATGTTATCTGCAGACATATCAATGCTATGATATGTTAGGCTATGGTATGATATGATATGATGCGCTATGCTATGGTATGATATGCTATGATATGCTATGCTACGCTGCGCTATGCTATGCTATGATGTGATATGATGTGATGTGATATGCTATGCTATGCTATACTACGCTGTGCTATGCTAAGCAATGCTATGATATGCTATGCTATGCTATGCTAGGCTAGGCTATGCTATGCGGAGCTATGCTATGCTATGCTTGGTTATGCTCGGCTATGCTATGCTATGCTATGTTATGGTTGGTCATGCTTGGCTATGTTATGATATGATATGCTGTGCTAATGCTGCGCTGCGTTATCCTGCGCTGCGCTCAGCTAAGCTAAGGTAAGCTAAGCTATGATAAGCTAAGTTAAGCTAAGCTAAGCTAGGCTAGGCTAGGCTAAGGTAGCTAGGCCAAGCTAAGCTAAGCTAAGCTAAGCTAAGCCAAGCTAAGCTAAGCTAAGCTAAGCTAAGCTAAGATGAGATACGATAAGCTAAGCTAAGCTAGCCTAAGCTAAGCTAAGCTAGGCTAAGCTAAGCTAAGCTAAGCTAAGATGAGATAAGCTAAGCTAAGCTAAGCTAAGCTGGGTGAACCCAGGGGGCGCAACTGGGGGAACCGCGGGGCGGGTGCCTGGGGAACCGCCCGGGGCGAGGAACACTGCCTGGCCCTTCAAGCTTATAAAGTAAGAACCCTTCTAGGCAGAGCCTAGGTAGGGAACATGTCTCACACATGTGTTTCACATGTCTGAAAACATGCTTGAGGCATGGTTCAGACATCTGGAAATTATGTGGCAGCATGCTTCCTCTCCATGAACCGACTTCCACAAGCCTAGACTCGTGGGCCGTCTTTCAGGAGCGGCCATGAAGGGGGGGGTCCAAGAGGGGGGGTGCAAATCATGGCCGGCGGCATGTGCGCGGCCCAGCGGGGGGGCCGGGGACGCAATGAAACAAGAAGAGGCGCCACGAGACCTGGGGAGATATCATGGCCCCCGCCATGATATCCACCCCCCCCCTAGTCATCACCCCCCTCTCTTCTGCCCCCGACAAGTCGACTTCCACTAGCCTGGGCTCGTGGGCCGTCTTGGAGCGCCCCCTCGGCCTGGCGGGGCCCGGTTGAGACATGTTCCAGACATCTGGACATGACTTGGCAGCATGCTTCCTCTCCACGAATCGCCTTCCACAAGCCTAGATTCTTGGGCCGTCGGCCCGGCGGGGCCCGGGAAAAGCCTCCGCGCGGGCACGGGCAGTGGCCCTGCCCCTTGCACGCCGCGGAGGCGCAGCGCTGCAGTGAGTAGCGGAGAGACGGGTGCGGGCCCGTGGCCTTCTCGCGCGGGGGGGAGGCCCGAGAAGCGGCCTTACTCCTCCTCCTCCTCCTCCTCCTCCTCCTCCTCCTCCTCCTCCTCCTCCTCCTCCTCCTCCTCCTCCTCCTCCTCCTCCTCCTCCTCCTTTCGAAGGCACCTTGGGGCCCTCGTGGAACCTGCTGGGCGTCTTCGGAGTGTCGTGTAGGGGAACAAAAAGTGGCATAAACATAACAACTCGGAGGTCCGCGCGGACTTCTCGGATCGGCGCCGGGGCTCCGAGGCGGCGCGCTCCGCGCGCCAGGGAGGGGGGTCCAGCGCCGGTCCGAGAAATCTGCGCGGAGCTCCGAGTTTTTATGTTTATGTCACTTGTTGTTCCCCTGTTCTGGGCGTCTTCGGAGTGTCGTGGGTTCACCCAGGTCCCTCGTGCTTAGAGCGTCCTGGGCTGGCGTCGGGGGTCCTGGAGCTGGCCCACGGCGACGACGTCTGGCGCGCGGTTCGCCCAGGAATGGTAGCACGGATGGCCTTGGCCTCCGACATCGCATCCCGCACCTCGCTGAGCAACTGTCGCCATTGGGCTCCAGCTTCACAATCAACAGATCGCTGATCATCGGCAGGACCCGCTTTCACTGGACGCCTCTATCACACGTGCTGATCTCAGTGCTGTAGCCAACCAGGGCGGATCCACGTAATGGTATCCGAAGCGGCTTCCTGCGCGACGGAACACTGCTGCCAAATTCAAAATATGGATGCTCGCCCACGTGATCACAATGGTTCCCCAGCAGGTTCCCACACGGACAGTGCCTCGCAAGACACTCGTAAACGGGAAAGGCCGATACAACGATAGCAGGACAAGCCTGCCAAGTTGCGAGACGACCTCTCATACGCCGTGATGCACAAATTGTAACTGATATCGTTCGTCTCCACATGGCGTTCCCGCATCACTCTGAGCAGCGAAAATGCATGCCGCCACTGGCCGCATCTCTCACACGTGCAGATCGCAGCGTTGTAGCTGACTACGAGGGATCCGTAGACTTACGTCCACGACAGCTGACTCGCACGCAGGGGTGAAAATCGCTTGCCTGCTGTTATGCTTGCGCGCTGCCCTGCGCGCATGGCTGCTAGCCTGCTGGTCAAGCAACTTCCTGCCATGCGTTCCTGCTTGCACGCTGGCCAGCGTGCCTAACACCATTCCTGGCGGCGTGCCTGCGAACGTGCTTGGTTGCGTCGTCGCTTGCTCGTCTGCTCGCTGGCAGCCGAGATCAAGGGGTATGTTGGCCACCGCCGCGGAAGGGCAGTGCGCGGGCGAGGCAGCCACGAGGCCAGAATACTTCAGGCCACCGCTTCGGCGCGTGGTTGGCGGGGGGGGGTCGGGTGCGGGGTGCGGGAAGCTTGAGGGTGGGCATGCCGAGCATGCTGAGCACGCGGGTGCGAGCATGCTGGGCATGTGGTGCGGTCACGGTTGGTGCGTGGGTGTGCGCTCGGCTCTCGGCAGAGTAGAGCGGAGGTGTGGGTGCGCTTGCTTGCGGTGCAACGTGGCGTGTGCAGCTGGCGATTCCGTGCGTCGGTCTCTCGTGTGTGTCGGGCGCTGCCGCGGGGCTGCTTGGCTGTAGGGTTCGGTGCTGCGTGGCGGGCGCGAGGTGCGTGGTTTCCCGTTTTGTTCCGACGCCAAGGAGAAAGGTAGAGAGAAAGAGAGAGAGAGAGAGAGAGGCGAGGAGGTATGAGGGAGAGCCAGTCACGAGGGGGCGGCAGACGCCAGTAGCCAAGAGGGAGAAGCGAGGGGCCATGAGAGCGGTGAGCGGAGCGAGGAGGAGTGAGAATAAAGGAGCCAGGAGCGAGGAGAGAGAGTCGAGGAGCACGGAGAGAGCGGCAGAGGGCGAAAAGCGAGGAGCAAGGAACGAGAAGGGAGGCATGAGAAGAGGCCAGCACGCAAACGTCTCAATGGCCTCGGTGCGCGTGCGGTCGAACATCTGGTCTCCTCTTGGGTCGCTCTATGGGCTCTCTTGGGTGCCTGGCGTGGATCCAGAGCTCTCTAAGAGGTCTTCCCTCGGACGCCTCTTGGAGGCGGCTTGGGGGGTGTCTTGAGGTTTCTCGGGGGCCTCTTGGGGGCGTCTGCAGTCTGCGCTGGGCCTCTTTAAGGCCCCCTCTGGGGCCTCTTGGGGGTCTCCCGCGGCTTCTGGAGCGTGGAACGCCTCTCGGGGGCCGCTCGAGGGCATGCTGGCGGTATGCTGGCGGTCTCGGAGGTCAGCTGAGGGCGGAGGGCGCGAAACGTCAGGCTGAGCTCCCCCTCCTGGGACCGTCATGAGACGTGTTGGGGGCATGCTGGGCCGTCTTGGAGCAATATTGGGGGCCTCTTGGGCCGTCTTGGAGTGTCCGAAGCGAGGACGCCGAAGTCCTTCAAGAACAGTGAAGCAATCCCACCAGCCCTCTGGGCGTCGGTGGTTTAGGGCGTTTCCTCTTCCACCCCTCCTTCCCTTTCGGGGAAAAGGTTTATCACTATTCCCTATTAATATACACCCCCTCCCCCAGGCGACCGGGAGCCAACCCGCGTCAATGAGGGCACCCCCCACCATCCCTTTTGTAAAAAACCATGCAAAACACATTCTGCCTCCAAATTCGGCATGCACAACGAACCCGATACGGCCTCCCCCCACCATCCCTGTCAAAAAACAATACAGAAAACACTTGGCGGCGGCGGCGACTGCGGCGGCGGCTGCGGCGGCTGCAGCGGCTGCGGCGGCTGCGGCGGTGGCGGCGGCGGTGGCGGCGGTGGGGGGGCGGCGGCGGCGGCAGCAGCGGCGGCGGCGGCGGCGGCGGCGGCGGCAGCGGTGGCGGCAGCGGCTGCAGCGGCAGCGGCGGCGGCGGCGGCAATTCGGCAGCGGGGGGCGGCGGCGGCGCGGCGGCGGCGGCGGTGGTAGAGCGGCGGCGGACAGCGGCGGCGGCGGCGGCGGCGCGGCGGCGGCGGCGGGCGGCGGCTGCGGCGGCGGAGGCGGCGGCGCCGGCGGCGGAGTGGCCCCCAGTAGCTGCCCATCCAAAGACGACTGCTGCAGATGCTGCGGCTCGGGCCAGGCTCGGGTGCTACGTATGTGTTGGGAGGGCGGGTGGGAGTGAGCGGGACGGCTTGCGGGCGGGGAGGGCGTCTTGGCCCCTCCACCTACCCCCTCCCCATGGACCTGGACAGGGGGTTCCGCGAGTCGCCGGAGCGTCTAAGACGGCCTCGGCGAGGAAGCCAACATCACTGGTTTTACTGAAGTTTTGGCCCCACGTTGGCCTCCTGAGGGGGTGACCCTAATTAGGGACCCCCCCTCATGTAATCGATCTCACCCAAGATGGCCCAAAGATGGCCCCCAAGGCTCCCAAGGGTGCCCCAAGAGGTGACCAGGAAGCCCCAAAAGGCCCCCAGAATGCCCCCAAGAGGCTCCCAAGAGACCTCCAAGAGGCCCCAAGAGACCCCCCAGAGGCACCCAAGATGCTCCAAGAGGCCTCGGCGAGAATGCCAAATCATTGATTCTACGAAGGTGTTAGCCACATGTTGGCCTCTTGGGGGGGCACTGATTAAGATGACTCCAAGAGTGCCTGGGAGAGCCCAAGATGACCTCCAAGATGGTTCAAGATATCCCAAGAGGTCTCAGAATGGCTCCCACGATGCTCCAGGATGCCCCAAGACCGCTCCAAGACGGCTCCAAAGAGCTCCCCCAGGAGGCCCCGAAGAGGCCAAAACCTTAGGAACATCTATGTGTTTGGCGTTCTCGCCTTTTCGCTTCCGATGGCCACCCGAGGCCTCAAGATGGCTCCAAGATGGCCCAAGAGGGCTCCAAGACAGGCTCAAGAGAGCCCCAAGACGGCCCCCAGAGCGCCTAATAGCGCTCCAAGAGAGCCCCCAAAGCGCCTCAAGAGGCGATTGCTTGGGCCCCCGAGGGGCAACGCTAACTAATGTTCGCTGCTTGTTTGATCGATGTCCTCCTAGATGGCCCCAAGAGCGCTCCCAAGGCTCACAAGAGCGCTTCAAGAGGGCCCCAAGAGGCGCCCAGGAGGCCCGAACAGGCGCCCAAGAGGCCTCCAAGATGCTCCCAAGAGACGCTCTCCGAGGCACCCAAGACGCTCCAAGAGGCCTCCACTGGGGAACCCGTCCTCTGTGTGCTGCCCACTTCCCTGATCGAGGCAATTCCTCTGGGCATCGTTTCTGGATGGGCTGGTGGGGTTACTTTTTTTGATCGGCGGCCCGCAAGGAAAAGTCCAGAGGGCGAGTCAATCAGGCAAGCTGGGGCACAGTGCCAGATAATTAAGACGGCAAGCAGCAGGAGGCGCAGGCCAATACAACGAGCCCACAGACCGACGGCTGGAGTCCGCGTCGAGACCGGCCAGAGTGCACATGCAGAAGACCACTGAGCGAATGCCAGCGGAAGCCAACGAGGAGACGCCCTGACGGCGCCAGCTCGCAAGCGGGACTGCCACAAACTGTCGGCAGACTGCGCACAGGGCCCCGCGCCGAGCTGTCCTGCCGAGTGCACATGCAAAGAACCACTGAGCGATTGCCAGCGGAAGCCAACGAGGAGTCGCCCTGACGGCGCCAGCTCGCAGGCGAAACAGCCACTGACGCCGCGCACAGGGCCTGTACCCCTGCAGCCGCTAAAGAAGTAGCGCGGGAATCCCAAGACGCCGAACTTCGAGTAACGAAGCCACTGATACCACGGGAAGGAGCCGGAGGCAGCCACCAGAGGGCCCATCACCTGGAGTCGAGATCGTGGCGCGTGGCGCCGTCGATGGGGGAAGCCACGTGGGCACGCCGTCGGACTTCAAAGTGTGAAGTGTGAGGGGGGTGGCCTTCAGCCAGTCGCCTCGGTCTCCACGGGCCCGCAATCAGCGCGGCCAAAGAGCCGTGGGTGGGGTTATCTCAGCCGACCGCACAGGCGAGGAGCCCACGGAGCGCCGCGGGGGTCTAAGCGCAGTGTGGGGGTGCACCTCGCACCCATGAGGTGGCACAAGAACGGTGGCCGGGGCCAGCCACTGCGGGCGAGCTGGTGGGGTTACGCGAAGCGTCTAGAATTCACGATTTTGGCCTCTCGGGGCCTTCTCGGCTGCGGGGCCTCTTGGAGGTATCTGGGACCCTGTTGGGCCGTCGGAAAGCCATGTTGGCGACCTCGTGGACCACCTGGAGGCGTCTAGGGCCATCTTGGACCGTCTTGGGACCCTCCTGGGACGTCTTGGAGCGGTCAGGTCACTTATTCTGGCTCTTGGTGCCCGAAGGAGGCTGGAAAAAGGACACGCAGGAGGCGCTGAATTGTAGAATGATGACGTTGGGTTCCAGCTTCGCCTCCCACATCTCGCTCATCAGCGCCAAAGCCCGCTGCCACTGCCGGCCCTTCTCGCACGCGCTGACCCCGGCGCTGTAGCTGACTAGGGCCGACCCGTGGACTCCGTCCGCGTAATCTTTCTGAAACGCTTCTCGGGGAGCGGCGGAGATGCTGCCGAATGGCTATCCGCATGCAGAAAGAAGGCGGAACCGAACCGAACCGAACCTGCCGATCCGAACCGGGCTGGACCAAGCTGGCGCGAACCGGCTTTCTCCACAACACGAACCGAAGCGAATTGGAATGATCGTTTTCGAAACTCGAACCAAACCGAACGGGACCGGATTCGATTGTGGACCGAACCCGACCGAACCGGACCGAATGGGGTCATCCTCCTCCTCCTCCTCCTCCTCCTGCTCCTCCTCCTCCTCCTCCTCCTCCTCCTCCTCCTCCTCCTCCTCCTCCTCCTCCTCCTCCTCCTCCTCCTCCTCCTCCTCCTCCTCCTCCTCCTCCTCCTCCTCCTCCTCCTCCTCCTCCTCCTCCTCCTCCTCCTCCTCCTCCTCCTCCTCCTCCGCTTCCTCCTCCTCCTCCTCATCCTCAGGCGCTCTTAGTGAGCTTTCGGCGATCACGTCGCCTCGCCAGACTGGCCAGAGTTCAAAAGGCTCCGACCCCCGCCCTTCTGCCAGCGCGCGCACGCGCAGGGGAGGGGGCACGAAGGTGCCGATCGACTGCGCCGCTCCACTTCGGGGATGCCGGCGCCGGGCACGAGCGCGGCGCCACTGCCCCTGCAGATGTGAGGCGGCTGCGGGGCGGGACAACGACGTGGAGTCGACGATCTGCGGGCAGCCGGCTTCCGAGAGCGAGACCGCACGTTCCTGGGCGGCATGGGGCGCCCGGGCCCCAATCGGCGATGACTGGGCGGCGTCTTCGACGGTGGGATCGCCTCGTCGCCCGTCGGTGTCCGAGAAGGCGCTGGGCGAACAAGAAATTCCTGCATAACGAGCACCCTTCGGGTGACAAGGAAATTCGATGGAGGCAGATCGCACTATTAATCTCACGATTGATCTTACTCGATCGAGATCACTTACGATACACGTGCGGATCTCGCAATCGATGTCGACTTGGCGATCCATCTCGGGTGTGCGATGAGCCTCTCGCCTCGTGTCCGCTTCCACTCTCTCGGAGGCAGTCTGGAAGCATCTTGGGGCCTCCTGGAGGTCGTTTGGGTGTCCCTTGGGGTTTCTTTTCTGCCTCTTGGGGCCCTCTTGGGCAGTCTTGGGGCGTCTGGGGCCCCTCTTGGACCATTTTGTGGCCGTCTTGGGCCTCCTTGGGTCAGCTTCTGGGGATCTCCTCCCTCGTGTCCTCTTGGGCCGTCTTCGGCGCTTCTTGGGGCGTCCTGGGGCCATCTTGGGCCGTCTTGGATCCCTCGTGGGGCCTCTTGGGGGCCTCTGGGGCCGTCTTGAACGAAGCTTGATGACTCGCAGGGCCGGACGATTTTTGCTTCTCGGGGCCCTCTCGGCGCCTCGTTTGGAGGCCTCTTGGTGCGTCTTGAGCTGTTCTTGGGCCGCTCGGAGAGTCTCCTGGACCGTCCTGAGGCCGTCCTGGCGCCCTCTTGGTGGCCTCCAGGAGCCTCTCGGAGCGCTCGAGGGGCGCGCCGAGGCGCCGGAGGAGGCTTAGGTCGGGCGTGTCCTCCTACAGGCGGAGTTTCTACGGAAGGCCAAAAATAGCTAGCAAATGCTCGAACATATTCCAAACCATAGTCAAAAAAAATCGTCCCCTGCAGGATCTACAATAATCGAAACAATAGTGAAATAGTCCAGACAAGAGTCCCAAAAAAAGCAATTCCAAACAATAGTCGAACAATAGTCGACTATTATTTTCAGTATCTTCGAAGATTCCCCCTGCAGGAGGACAGGCCCGACCCGAGAGGCCCTGGAGCTCCTGGAGGGGGGGCCCCGGAGGTCCTCGGAGGACGCTCTGAGGGCCCCGTCCTGCTCGCACGCGAAGGGCCCCATGCAGGTGCAGCAGAGGCCGAGGCTGGCCCATGGATGAAGGGGCCCTGGGACACACAAATAAATACACACAAATAAAAAGATCAACCATATTTTCCCATATTTTCTGGGTTTTTGTCTTCCCCACCACTTCCCATATTTTCCCATATTTTCTGGGGAGTCGACGATTAATTGTGTCTGTGTGTTTCTTTCCCTCCTGAATGGACCGTGTCCACGAGCTATTTTCGAATGTTCCTCCTGTGGAGCTCCCGCCGGCGTCCGCCGAGCTCCCGCCGAGCGTCCACCGGCGGGGCGGCCTCGTCTCGCTCTTCCGCCGACCTCCCGCCGAGCTGCCGCGGCGGAAGCGAGGACAGCTCCTTCCAGCCCCGAAGGCAAGGATTGTGAATACCACGACAATGGACACCCGAACAGTCCTATCATTGAATGAAAGATGCGTGTCAAGTGTGTACAACAGAATCTCAAAGTGTTTCGAACATGTTTGTCACATGCTTAAGACATGTTTGAAACATCTTTCAGACATCTGGGAATTATTTGGCAGCACGCTGCCTCTCCATTAATCGACTTCCACAACTGTAGAGGGACATATACATTGCCAATGGCGGTTTGTTTTCTCAATCCCACGACTTTTTGACGGTCGGGGACGACGTCGGGGCGGTGTGGTGTATACTTTCCCCGGTTTTCCCAGGGAGACAACGAAAAATGTATACCCCAGGATCCCGTATACACCAGGATCCGCGTTCCTGTGCGAATGTCAGCGCAGGGTCGGAAAAAGCGTCGGTGTATAGAGTTCGCTTCCCCAAGGCCCGACTTACTGTGATTGGGGACATGCTGCCGCAAGACTGAAATGGTGACGTGGGGCTCGGCCCTCGCATTCCGCGCACGCTGCTGCGCGCTGCTGCTGGCTGACGCTGCTGCGTGATGCTGGCGATGCTTGCCGCAGCTGCGTGGCACTGCCGTCTGTGGCTGCAGGGTGCTGCGGATGACCAGGTCCGCGTGGTGCGTGCTGCTGCCCCCGCTGCGCTCGCTGCTGCCTGCTGTTGCCGTGTGCTGCCGCTGCTGCTGCTGCTGCCTGCTTCGCGCTGTGTGCTGCTGCCAGTCGCTGCTGCTGCTGCTGCTCGATGGTGCAGGGTGCTGTCTGTGGCTACTTCAGCTTGCTGGCGCAACCTGCTGCCAGGAAGGGATGGAGGAGTCAAGCTCGAAGAGGCCGAGGAGAGGGGAGGAGAACCCAGGAGGGCGACCAGCGAAGAGCGAGGAGGGAGGAGCGACGGCGAGGAGAGAGGGGCGAGGAAGGAGGAGGGAGAGTCGAGGAGGGACGCGGGAGGGGGGAGGGAACTCCTGGGGGTATCTTGGGGCCTCGTGAGGGGAGGCCTCTCGGGGTGTCCTCGTGGGCCTCTTGGTGGGTGTCTCTTGGGGTCGTGTACTGGGAACTCCTTCGGGGCTCGGGGGGCTCGTTTGGCTCCCATGGAGCGCTCCCGAACCTCCCAGGGCAATCTGGCCGAATCGGGCCGGCCCTCGGGACCTCTGGGAGCTGCCTTCGGGAGGGCGTGGGGGAGTGGGGGGGGGGCGTCGGGGGCGGGACGCTCAAAGCTGGGGGGCCCATGGGGCCACCTCGGTGCGGTCCTGCGCCGTCTTGGCCTCGTCTTGGGGCCCTCTCGGCGGCCTCCCGGACCATCTTGGAGCCCCGTCCGGCCGCGAGGCCCCCTTCGGGCCGGGTCTCGGCCACCTTGGCGGCCTCCTGGGCCATGTTGGAGCCCTGTCAGGCCGCCTCGAGGCCCCCGGGCCTCGTCTTACGGCCATCTTGGCGACCTCCTGGGCCATCTTGGAGCCCTGTCAGGCCGTCTCGAGGCCCCCTCGGGGGCCTACTGGGCCGTCCTGGGTCGACCTCGGGGGGCGGGGCTTCCTGGGCCGCCCTGGGCGCCCCGAGGCCCGAAGAAGCGAGCATGCGGACGCCACTCGAGAACCACGCGGACATCGATGGCGTTCCTCATGGAAGCGGCTGGGGCCCCTTGGCTTAGGTCGGACGTGTCCCGCTACAGGAGAATGTTGGACGAAAAAAAAACAGTTCCCAAAAAATGTTTAAAACAAGTCGTCAAAAAATCGTCCCCGTACGATTTGTTATCTGTTTCTGTTCCTCCTGAAGGGGGACGGGCCCGACTTAGTTCTTGGACCGTTTTTGTTGGGGGGGAGGGGGGCCTTGGACCTTCCTGAACTGCCCTGGGGCGTTCGAGGGCCGCCCTGGAATCCTCTTGGGGGCGGCCTGGCGCCTCTGGGAGCGTCCTGGGGCACTCTTGGGGCACGCTCGGGTTATGCTGCTCCCGTCGCACTTGAGGGCCACATCCCAGAAATAATCTCGAGCATCCCGAAAAAGTGCCGAAAGCGTGCCGGAGCAGTGTCGAAACAGTGTCTGACGAGTGCCTCCCAGGGCCCGGCACGTGAAAACCCTCGAGTTTCGGTCCTTTTTCTGGCGCTCGAGCTTCTTCCCGGTGGTCAAGACTATCATAACGCTTGGGCCGCCTCGGAGCGCCCAGGGAGGGCCCGGCGCCGCGCCAGGGCTGGGGCCGACGGCACGGCACCCGGGCGCCCAGGCTCCCTGCGCACGGTGCCCCCTGGCCCTGGCAGACACGACGGTGGGCTCCAGCGTCGCCGCCCACATCTCGCCCAGCAGCGCCAGGGCCCGTTGCCACTGCTCGCCCTTCTCGCACGCGCTGATCCCAGCGTTGTAACTGATGATGACTGACTGGGGCGAACCCGTGGGCTTCGTCCACGACCAGCAGGTCCCCCTGGCGCGCCTCCACGTTGGGCCTCCACCCAGGAAAAAGGCGCCCCGAAGCCTTCGGTTACTTTTTCCGGCCGCCTTTCCGAAGTTGGAAGGCGGGCGCTTCCTCCGCTTCGCCCGCCTTCCGCTCCACGTCCGCCTGGTCAGCCTTCGGAGCATCACAGGCGGCTATGGTGGGTCTGCGGTGTGCCTCTCGCCGCTTGTCTGCTCCCCCTGGTTTGAGCCATTTTGAGAGCATCTGGGGCTGGGGCTCTGGTGGCCTTTTTCCGGTTGCCTTTTCGAAGCCTGATAGCGGGCGCTGCCTTCTGCTTGGGAACTGTTTGGGGCCTCTCGGGGTGTCTTTTCGGCCTCCTGGGGGCCTCTTGGGCCGTCTTGCGGCCTCCTGGGGTCCTCCTGGGGCCCTCTTGGGCTGTTTTCGGTGCCTCTAGGGGCCGTCTGGGGCCGTCTCGAGACTGTCTAGAGGCCATCTTGGGCGCTCTCTGGCCGCTCGTGGGGCTGTCTTGGGTGCTTTCTTGGGCTGTCATGGGCGCCACAGGGAGCCGTCCGGTGGCCGCCTGGGGCCGTCGTAGAGGCCTGCTGGGGCCCTCCTAAGGCGTCTTGGGGCGAGCTTGGGTGCCTGCATTGTCGTCTGGGACGCATTCCAAAACGAAAAACACGTCTTGGGGCCCTCTCGAGCCACCTTACGATTCTCTTTGGAGGCCTCTTAGGCCAACTTGGGGCGATCTTGGGGGCTGTTGGACCCTCGTGGGCACTGCAAGGGCCCCCAAAATCGTATATGCTAAGATTGTCGTTTCAAACCTACAGGCAACAACTGAGGTTTGCACCAGGAGGCCCTGCTGGGAGTGCTCTTGGAACGCCCTGGGGGCCTTTTGGAAGGCTTCCTCGGCCATCTCAAGACCGTCTTGGGCTATCTTGGGGCCCTCTAAGGCCGCCCGGACGCCATCTCGGGCCATCTTGCAGCCATCGTCTGCAGTATTGAAATGTATCTTCGGTCAACTTGGAGGCCTCTTGGACTCGCGTGGGCCGCGTGGGAGGCGCAGGCCCTCTGGGCGACCCCCTGGCTTTGCCACGGCTGGCACCTTCAACGCGCTGCCCCCAGTATTGCAGGACTGACTACGGCCAACCCGGGGAATCCGTCCACGAAGTCTGCACGAACTGGCATGGCATGAGGGTGGACACGCTGCCGAGGGCCCGAGGAGGCGGAGGGGCTCCTTGTCCTGGTCTTGCTCCTCCTTGCGTTCCTCCCAATGATGGAGTTCCTCGTCGTCCTCCCGCAGCTCCCCCTGCTCTTCCGCCTCCTCCTCCTCCTCCTCCTCCTCCTCTGTTCCTCCTTCGCCTCCTCCTCCTTCATGAGCCGGGGTGGGTCGATGTCGCGCCTTCAGATGGGAAAGACCTGGCCTGAAGACGCCGTCCATAGCAAGCGGCGAGACCTGCGCGGGCACGGAAACGAAAGGGGCGATTCAGGAATTGGCCCGAGATGGCTCATGGCGCCCTTCGCTTTTGAGAGCCCCTGTGTGAAGGGCTTGTCACGTCACCGCTCGCTCTTGGGAGCTGTGCCTGGGAGAGCTCTCTACGCTGCGGCTCGCTCTTGGGAGCCTTGGTGAGAAGAGCTTTGTACTTCACCGATCGCTCTTTTAGTGGGCGTCTCTGGGCCTGCTTGGTGGTCCTTGTGGGTGTCTTTTTCGGGCCATTCTGAAGCTTTTTTGGGCTGCTCTGGGAGCGTTTTGGGACGTTTAAAGCCTTTGGGGGCCGTCACGGGGCGTATGGGAGGCCTTGGACCGTCTTGGAGCTCTCTTGAGGCTGCCTGAGGCCGTCTTGGGAGCCTCTTGGGGCCCCCTGGGAGCTCTCTGGGGCCGTCTTGGGGTTCTGTGAGGCCGTTTCAGGGCTCTCTAGCGTCGTCTTGGGGCTCTTGTGGGCCATCTTGGAGCCCTCTTAGAGGCCGCTGGCGTCTTCTTGGGGCGATTTGGGAGGCCTCTTGGCGTGTCCTGGGCCGCTGAGGAGCACACAAGGCGGGCATGCTGAAAATATACGTTTTTCCCATGGGAATTTGACGATTTGTGCATCTTCGGAGTGCGCTCGGGGCCCTCTTGGGGCGTCTTTGCGGCCTCTTGGATCATCGTGGAGACCCCCGGAAGGCTTCGAGCCCTCGTGGGCCGTCTCGGGACCCACTGCGGCCGTTTTGGAGCGCTCTTGAACGGTCTGGGAACCCTTCTGGAGCGCCTTTGGGACCGGCCTGAGCGATTCGGCCCCATGGTGGCGCCGTAAAGGGGCGATTTTATGCACACGAGGCCCTGAGACATTCTCGCACGCGCTTCCACTGGCCATGTAGGACAGACTAGTGTGAACCCGTGGAAAATCCACGGTCCGAAGGTCCAGGCGTTGGTCCCGAACGCACACGTGTCGCCGAGGCCTGCGGGAGGGCAGGGCGCTGTGGAGGGAAGCCCTTCGGGCCGTGTCCGGGGCCTCCGGTCCTGGGTCGGGAGCGCAGTCGGCGTAATGCAATGGCAAAAACCGTCGGGTTTTCGCTATAATCGCGCCAAGGCCGCGCGCGAGCGAAAACCCGATGCTTTCTGAGGCGTGTCAAAAAGGTCGATGGGTAGGTGGAGTCAGAATCAGCGAGAAGTCCGGGGGCTCGGAGGCCGATGCTGGGGCCCTCTGAGACAGTGTCTGGGGCGTCTTGGGGCCATCTTGGGGTTCTCGGGCCGTCTCGTAGGTCGCTTTGGGGCCCTCTTGGGTGGCATCTGGGGCCCTTCTTGGAGCGTCTTGGGGCCATCTTGGGGATCTTGGGCCGCTTTGGAGGTCGCTTTGGGCCCGCTCGGGCGGGATCTGGGGCCCGGTTGGGGCTGACTTGGGGATCACTTGAAACTCTTTTGGGGCCGTCTTGGGGCCCTCTTGGGCCGTCTACGGGCCTTCTTAGGCCGTCTGGTGCCCTCCTGGGGCCCTCTTGGACCGTCCAGGGGCGATCATCTGGGAAGCCCCCGAAGCCATCCTGGGCCGCTGTAGGCCCGAAGTGGCGGGAACAGGAAAACCCTCGAAACCTTTTTGGACAACGCGCAGTATTGCCCCTTGGCGCCGTGCACGCGATTCTCGGTGGCCGTCTCTGAAGCCTTTTGGGGCCGTCATGGGGCTCCGGTCGGATCGGCTTCGGCCCTCTTGGGCGTCTGTGAGGCCATCTTGGGGCGATCTGGGGGTCCTGGAGCCGTCGGCGAGCGCTCCAGGGGCCTCCTGGGGCCGTCGAGGGGCGTCCTGGAGGCTCTCTGGGCGGCCCGCGGGCTCTCTGGGCGGCCCGGGGCGCTGCCACTGCTTCCACTACTCGCACGCGCTTCGCCCAGAATTGTGGCACAGACTAGAGTTGACCCGTGGACTACGTTGCCGCCAGGCGCACTCGATAAAATTGGGCCCCACGCTCGCCTTTCACATCTCGAAGGATTGCAAAAAAAAACAGGATTACAAAAAACCCTGGATTGCAAAACAAAAACCCTTCGTCGAAGGATTGCAAAAAAAACCTTGGGTTTTTTTGCAATCCTTCGTGCAATCCAGGGTTTTTTTGCAATCCTTCGAACAGCGGGAGCGCCTGGTGGCACTACTCGTTCCGTCGTCGCCGTCTGTCTGCCGCCGCCGCAGCCGCAGCCGGCGCTGCCAGTGCCGCGTCTGCCGGCGCCCCCCTCGCCGCCGCCGCGCCGTGAGCCGCCAGCCTCGGGCGTCTATGAGGGGGCGGGAAGGCGCTGTGGCCGGTGGTCACGGGCGCCGTCTGCAAGAAGCGCCGGGGGGCACGATGATCAGTTGAGCTGGGATGGTATGAACTCACATGGAAAACGAACAACGACCAAATCCGATCCGGCGTGTGAGTTTCTGAGAGCGTGGGCTTGAGATCGCTCAAGCTTCGCTCTGTCGGGGGCAGGGGGCTGACGCCATAGCTGACGCAATTCAGGCCCCAGAGGGAGGAGGGGGGGGGGGGAGGGGGGACGCCATGGCTGACGTCATTCAGGCCCGGAGGAGGGAGTCGGGGGGGGGGGGAGGGGGGCTGACGCCACAGCTGATGCCATTCAGGCCGGGGAGGGGGAGGGGGGGAGAGGAAGGAGGGGGGGGGAGGGACGCCATGACTGACGCCATTCAGGCCAGGGAGGAGGATGTCAGGGGGGGGGGGCGGGCTGACGCCATGGCTCACGCCAGGGCCGGGGGAGGGGGGGGCTCGCTCAAGCTTCGCTCTGTCGGGGGGGGGGAGGGGGCTGACGCCATAGCTGACGCCATTCAGGCCCAGGAGGGGGGGGGGGGGGAGGGAGTGACGCCATGGCTGACGCCATTCAGGCCCGGAGGGGGAGTCGGGGGGGGGGGGGGGAAGGGCTGCCGCCACGGCTGACGCCATTCAGGCCGGGAGGGGGAGGGGGGGGGAGCTCGCTCAAGCTTCACTCTGTCGGGGGGGGGGGGGGGGGGGGCTGACGCCATGCTGACGCCATTCAAGCTCGGGAGAGGAAAGGGGGGGGGGGGGAGGGCCGACGCAATGGCTGACGCCATTCACCATTCACGCCCGAGACGGGGAAGTCGGGGGGGGGGGCGGGGGCTGACGTCATAGCTGACGCCATTCAGGCCCAGAAGGTGGGAGGGGACATTCCATGAGTTTGGCTGTTCACGCGAGATCGTAACTTTCGAATCTCCGAAGGTTGCCCAAGCGAGTTCAACATCTCTTTCTTATGAGGATGTCTCGAGCGAGCGTTCTACTTTTAAACATAAAAAGTCATCCGTTGCAAGCAGAATCGGTAGCACCCCGGATCGGCGGCACTGGCCAGAGGCCACTACAATATAATCATAAGTAAATTGCAGTGTCCCAAGGGGTGCGGAAGAATCTGGGGGGAGAGTGTGGTAGAGTCTGCTCTTCTTGTGAAAGGAGACTGAAAGAGAATCCATGCGGTGCAGTCGATATGGCGCAAAGCGATGCAAAACAATGCAACGCAATGCAACGCAATGCACGACAACACAAAGCAATGCAAATCAATGCAAAGCAATGCAATGCAAAGCAATGCGAAGCCATGCGAAGCTATGCGAAGCAATGCGAAGCAATGTAATCCAAATCAACGCAAACAAACGCGAAGCAACGCGAAGCAATACGAAGCAACGCAAGGCAATGCGAAACAACGCACAGCAATGCAGAGCAATGCAAATCAACGCCGAACAGTGCAACGCAACGCGGTGACGGGCGGCGACGAGCCAGCAGGACCGCCACTGGGGCCCAGCCGCGACGGCGGCGACGCGCGGCGACGGGCCGGCGACGGGCCAACTGGCGACGAGAAAGAGCCCCCAAGTGTAAGCACTGCTTGGGAAATGAGTTCGGCCTCCTCGGGCGATCTTCCTAATGCTCCTGGGCTGTTCTGGACGCTTCCTGGGGGGGCATTAGCAACAGCAGCAGCTCCGCATCCTCCTCCTCCTCCTCCTCCTCCTCCTCCTCCTCCTCCTCCTCCTCCTCCACCTCCTCCTCCTGCTCCTCCTCCTCCTCCACCTCCTTTTCTTCCTCCTCCTCCTCCTCCTCCACCTCGTCGATTTGGCTCGTCCTCGTCCTCCTCCTCCTCCTCCTCCTCCCTCCTCCTCCTCCTCCTTCCTCCTCCTCCTCCTCCTCCCTCCTCCTCCTCCCCCTCCTCCTCCTCCTCCTCCTCCTCCTCCTCCTCCTCCTTCTTCTCCTCATCACCTCATCATCAGATTCTTCTTATGAATAATATTAGTATGCTTATTATTCTTCTTCATCATCATCAGCAGCAGCATCATCATCAGCATCATCATCATCAGCAGCATCATCAGAATCATCATCATCATCATCATCATCATCATCATCATCATCATCATCATCATCATCATCATCATCATCATCATCAGCAGCAGCAGCAGCAGCAGCAGCAGCATCATCATGAGCAGTAGCATCAGCAGCAGCATCATCATCATCCTTTTTCTATTCCTCTTCCTCCTCCTCCTCCTCCTCCTCCTCCTCCTCCTCCTCCTCCTCCTCCTCCTCCTCGTGCTCAGCTCGTCCTCGTCCTCGTCCTCAGCCTCCTCCTGCTGCTCTTCCTCCTGCTGCTGCTGCTGCTGCTGCTCCTCGTCCTCATCCTCCTCATCCCCTGGAAATCGTGCGGTTCCGACTGCGCCGGCAGAAGCGCCTGTGGGGAAGGAGAGCTACGACGAGAATGAGAAGGAGGAGGCCCAAGATGATTCTGGGAAAAAACAACACCCCACACCTCTTGGGACACGCTGATCGCGGGAGGAGTCGCAGAAACAGCGTTCCTGGGTGTCCGCGGCTGGATCGGACAGCTATTTTCTGCAACCCCTCCCGCGCGAGATGTGTCCCAAGAGGTGTGGGGGGCGGCTTTGTCCAATCATCTGGTTCTTCCTGAAAGTATATTGGAGCCGTTTGAAGGGAGCTGCGAGAAGCCTTGCGGGAGCTTATGGGGTGTGGCTTTTTCTGGTCAACTAGGGCCTTTTTGGGGAGCATGGTCGAGCCGTTTCGAGGCAGCTGCTGGGGAGGCCCGGAAGCCATCTGGGAGCCTCTGGGGGGGCTCTTGGGGGCCTGCTGGCCGTGGGGGGGGGGGGGATAGGGGGGGGAACGCTCCTGAGTTGGCCCTCTTGGGCCTTCCTTGAGGCCGTGTTTGGGGGGCTGTTCGGCCGTCTCGGGAGTCCCCGCAGCCGACTTGAGGAGCTCCGAGGCCGTCTTGGGATCTCTCTTGGGAGCTCTCTGGGCGCCCTCCAGACGATTTGGGCGGCGCGTCGAAACGTGTTGGGCGTCGTTTGGCCGGAGGAACGGTCGCAAGAGGAACTTTGGACAAACCTTCGGACTGTTGTCAGTTCTTCGTCCTCGCGGGCCTCTCGGAGGCCATATGGGAGCCTTGTGGGACCAGGTCGGGGGCTTCCTGGGCCGTCTGGGAGCCCTCTTGCGCTGCAGAGGGTCGGTCTGGGGGCTTTCCGCCCACGCGCGAGGCTCTCTCCGGGCAGGTCGCCGGCGCCCCCGGTGCGGAAACCGCGAAGGCGCCGCCGCCGCGAGCCCGTCGGGCGCACCTCACACCCCCTCTGGCACGCGCAAGGCCTGGTGTTGCAGTGTTGATAGATGACATTGGGCTGCAGCTTCGCCTCCCGCATCTCCCTCAACAGCGCCAGAGCCCGCTGCCACTGCTCGCCCTTCTCGCACGCGCTGATCCCAGCGCTGCAGCTGACTAGGGCTGACCCGCGGCCTTCCGGCCGCGGAGTCTGCCCGCCATGGTGTGGACGTAGAAATGGAGCGCCTCCGGGGCCTCGCGGGGGGGAGGTTGGAGGGGACGGTGTAGATGGAGGAAGTCACCGCTGAAGGGGGAGGTGGGCGAGGGATGCAGGCAAGCAGGCCTGAAGGCAGGAACGCATGTAGGCACAACGTGGTGTGGACAGAAGCTGTTTCTCACGCCGCGCTCTGTGTTCATCATAGCTTTTGCGGGGCGGGTCGCCGTGATAATTCCATCTGCTCTTAGCTGGGGCCGTGCGATCTACAACCCAAGAGGCCCGCAAGAGGGCGCCGAGACGGCCCGCACTGGGGCCGCTCAGGCGCCCGGTGCACGGGAGGATCACCGATAGGACGCTGGAGAAACTGTCAAGTAACTGTCACTTTGGTTTATTTGGGCTGCGCGTTAGAAGCCTTGTCGGGGTGTGGACACTGTTGGGGACTTCTTCGGGGCATGCTCGGGACATCTCTGTGGCTCCGAGTATCGGCTTTTGGAATACTTTTGGGCCATTTTGGCCGCCCTCCTCGTCCTCCCCTGGATCGGTCATCCAGTCGATATTCTTTAGGAGCCATCTCGGTGTGTCTGGACCGTCTTGGGGCCTCCTTCGGGTCATGCTCGGGACATCTCAGTGGCTTCTATCGGCGTTGGGGCATTCTGGGTGTCCTCCTCCTCCTCCTCCCCTCGATCCTTCATCCCGTCAATCTTCTCGTCAGTCGTCGACGCTCCCCAAGAGACAAGCATTCAAGGCCTCATGGGGTCCGCTTGGAAGCCTCTTTTCGTCCTCCTGGGGGTCTCTCGGGCTCTCTTGGGCCGTCTTGGATGCATCTTGGGCCGCCTTGGAGCGATCTGGGGTCGTCTTGGGCGCCTCTGGGTTGTGGCCGTCTTGGGGCCATCTTGGCCCGTTATTGGGCGCTCTTGCGGCTGTCTTGGGTGCCTCTTGGGCCGTCTCGGGCGCCT